GCCCTTCTCACCCCGCAGGGGACTCAGGGCAGATTACAATGTACATATACATGGTAAACATTCAATGCCATAGACACACAACATATATAGACAAGACACACAGAGGCTGTTTAACATTCCAGCTTTTTCATGAGGGTATTCTGGCCACCAGGGGAGCTGTTGCTTCACTGTCATTTGTGACACTGATGAAGTACTTCCTCATTCTTTGCATGCTTGCTGGAGATTTTTATGGCCTCGTAAATTAGCCTCCCTGCATAAGCGGTACCTAAATTTCCTACTTGACAGATGCAACTGTCTTTCGGGCTGCAAAGGTCGACAGCAAGCTACACAAATTGGTCGGAAGCTCACTCCAACCCGGGCTGGCTTCAAACTCATGACCTTTTGGTCAGTAGTGATCTTAATGCAACTGACTCCCAGCCAGCTGTGCCACAGTCCCGGTCCTTTTGGTACTAATGTTGGAGAATGGTTCCTGGTCAAGTAGTCCTGGTCAAAAGGTCCCTGAACAAAGTGGTCCTTCGTCAGAGTGATCTCTGTTCAAAAAGAGAGTTGGGAACCACTGATATAGACAAGTCAAGGGTAGGCTGTGCAGCCAAACGTATGGTAATGATATGACCCATGGATAAGTTGAAGGTTATTGCACAGAGAGGATATCAGCAATGCTACTGCAGCACTATCTACTTGGGACTGCCTTTGAAAAAGATCAAACCAATCCATATTCCAGGAAATAATGCCTGACTGTTCACTGGAGGAAAGGATATTAAAGGCAGAGATGAAGTATTTTAGCTACATAATGAAAAGACAGGAAAGCTTGGAGAAGATAATGATGCTGTGGAAAATGGAAGGAAAACGAAAGCTGGGCTGACCAAGGGCAAGATGGAAGAATGTTATTCTTGAAGTGACTGGCTTGGCGTTGAAGGAGTTGGGGGTGGCGATGGCTGACAGAGAGCTCTAGCAAGGCCTGGTCCATGTGGTCCCAAAGAGTTGGAAGCAACTGAATGAATAAATAGCAACGAACATAGGTTAGGTTGTTGCTTCAGCACTGGAATGAAATCAAGGCACCATAAATCAAGGTGTCATGGCATGCCCCATTGCTTTGGCTCTTTCCAACATGCTTTACTTGGATCTCAGCAAACTGACTATCTAGACACTAGATTATAATGTATAGGATTGGCATGGAGAACACTCTAGCAAAAAGAAATCGATGTCAAACTACATTTTGAACATTTACAGCTCAAAACACTACAGTGGCAATTTCCTCATCTACACCTACTATGGCATCACCAACCCATGCCGACAGCAGACCATTTCGCATTGGTCATGCTATCTACACAATGCTGGATGTTTTGGAGAAACTTTGACAGTTTCCTTTTCTTAACATGGGGTTAAACCAGGTTAACCTAGTTTATGTGATATTAAGAATCAGAAGTCTGGACAACCAGGTTCAATTTCTGGTCCAGGGTAAAGGACTGGTGTAGACAAACTCATAGTCACAGATTTGATCTCTCTTCATTTTGTGTGTGAATCACACCCCTCCTCTATGTCTCATATTATTCAGACAGAATGGCTTGAAAATGTTTGGAGGAGCAGCAGATGTTTGGAGTTAAGCTGCATTGGATAAATGGCTTTGTTGTACGCCAATGTATTCTGAGTAAATCTAAATTGAATATCTGCAAGAAAACTTTGAATTAAACATCTCTTGCAAATGGAAGCAAATACAGAGCCATGCCTTATCTGTAGCCATTTAACAAAAGTTGGCAGTTTTTGCTCTAATTCTGAATTTCCAATCAGTTAATACAGGCCAAGGGTCCACAGACAGTTTCTTCTACTTAAACCAGGGCTTGGATTTATAGCTCAACAGCTTTTGAAAACAGGTTGATGCCTGACTCCTTCCTTACGTCTGGTTTCAACTCTGTTCTCTTGATACCATCTGTTTGCTTCCTATAAACAGACCATTATATTTAAAGAATACACATGCGTTTTCTCATCTTTCACAACGAAGAGTGTCTGTCAACATATGAAGGCCTCTGTCAAGGAAATGGACAACCATCACAAGTTTTCGTGCACTGGAGGATGTTTACGTGAAAAATTCATAGACTTTCTGGGAGGAAAACAAAATGTTACAAATGGACACTAGCTGCAAAGAAATATGCATGTTGCATAGAATATAATTTTCTGTGCAGATGAGCATGACAACAGCCAAGAACTGAGTCATTGATATGGATAGATGTGGATGACTGCTTTTTTTGGCAACGTGACCATGGAGACAGTCATGATGAATGACTAAACTCAGAATTTACTGCTGTATCACCAGAATAAGAAAGGTTAAGCACCTTGCATCTTTGTTGTTTATTCATTTGGTTACTTCCAACTCTTTGTGACTTCTTGGACCAGTTCACGCCAGAGCTCCCTGTCGGCCATCACCATCCCCAACTCCTTCAGAGTCAAGCCAGTTACTTCAAGGATACCATCGATCCACCTTGCCCTTGGTCGGCCCCTCTTCCTTTTTCTTTCAATTTTCCCCAGCATCAATGTCTTCTCCAAGCTTTCCTGTCTTCTCATGATGTGGCCAAAGTATTTCATCTTGGCCTCCACTATCCTTCCCTCCAATGAGCAGTCAGGCTTTATTTTCTGAAGTATGGACTGGTTGGATCTTCTCGCAGTCCAAGGCACTCTCAGCACTTTCCTCCAACACCACAGTTCAAAAGCATCTATCTTCCTTCACTCAGCCTTCCCTATGGTCCAGCTCTCACATCCATAGGCAACTATGGGGAATACCATTGCTTTAACCATGCGGATCTTCGTTGCCAGTGTGATGTCTCTACTCTTCACTATTTTATCGAGATTGGACATTGCTCTCCTCCCAAGAAGTAAACGTCTTCTGATTTCCTGGCTGCAGTCTGCGTCTGCAGTAATCTTTGCACTTAGAAATACAAACCCTGTCACTGCCTTCATGTTTTCTCCCTCTATTTGCCATGATCTTGCATCTACTCTACTCAAAATATACAGTAGAATCCTTATAACTGCTGAAATATGTTCATGTGGTTACGTGAAACTGCAACATCATTGACTTAACTTGTTATGAATAACTTTTCAATACATTTAAAGCTTAGGTTCTCTTTATTGCAATTTTCCAGTATGAGAAAGGGTATCAGAATATATTGTCAAAGGCTTTCATGGCCAGAATCACTGGATTGTTGTAAGTTTTTTGGGCAGAAGCATGGAACATGGCCATATAGCCCAAAAAACTTACAACAACCCGGTATAACTACACTGAATCCACAAACAACCTACAGTTACATTGGCTAACAAACAAAGGGAAATTACATTTTTATTCAGCATTCACATTACACATATACTTTCAGTCATCATCATGCATCCAAACATTACCATATTTTCCCCCACTTTGGGGAAGCACTGCTTAGGCCAGCCCCTGCTTTCCCTGCCAAAACACAGTTCTGAAACTTCCAAAATGCCAGAATGTATCCTCCTTCCCTAAAAACAATGCCAATGATCAGATCCCTGTTTTCCCTACAGCAGAAACTTACCCCCTACAAATGTATTTTCCAAAATTGCAACCTTTCTCTTCCCTTGAGAAAAGGAGGCAAGAGTCCAGAATCTTGCTTTCCGTAGATCTGACACTCCCAAGGTACACCATCTCTTTCAATAGAGCATGGCGGGTGAACAGCACAGCTGTCTGTCACACTTGAGAATAATTAGATTGAGTCTTTTATAGGAAGATTCTGCTGATGTTGTTCCAAAKTTGTAAATCTTTGTCCCCGTTGAAATTATCTTGAGTCTTCACCTCCTGACATAGATGTTTGTCTTCAAGTAACRAAGCATTGTGTTCTGGGTTTGACTTGGAAAAGCATTGTYTTTGACTAATGTAAACAAAGATCATTTCCTTTAGAGKTAATCTGGTTTCTGGTCAGCAAAAGTTGACAGATGCAAACAGATGTCAACATTTCTCTTATCACTGTCACAGTTCTTATCACAGTTTACTAGGGTAGGTCAACCAGTTCAGTTCTTATTAGCAGGTTTTAATTGCAATTCAGCAAGTAAGTAGTTAATGGTTTAGCCATTGCAGGCTTTAATCTTCAGAATGGTGTCTCCAAAATTATTAGCAGTCATTCATTCATTCCTTTCATTCAGTTCACTCATACCCACACATATTAAATCCAGATTTATCAAATCTATGCATTATTTTGTATACAGTTCCAGCCCAGCTTGCCTGTCCGAACATATTTCCCTCTACGCCCCACCTTGGAGTTTAAGATCTTCTGGGGAGGCTCTGCTCTCGACCCTGGCTCTAGCGCAAACACGTTTAGCGGGGATGAGGGACAGGGCCTTCTCGGTGGTGACCCCCCCGCCCCCGGCCGCCTGTGGAACTTACTCCCCAGTAAAATCAGGTCAACTACATCCCTCCTCTCCTTCAGGAAGAAATTGAAAATGTGGTTGTGGGACCAGGCTTTCGGGTAGCACACTGATAATGACAATGACAATTATAATAATGCTATGGTAAATGGACTATGGGCAGGCTTCTGATTGTGGTAACAGAGGGAAAATGCAAATCATGCCGCCCTAGATTCTGTGGCTTGTATAGGACTTTAAAGATATATGGCTGAGTTAATAGGCTGTAATACGCCCACAATAACAGTGACACAACTTTTGCAAGCAGGGTCTCACTTATAAAGCCACTGTGTCCATTGAATTGCAAGCATTTTTGTTAATTGTTGGGGAAATTCATCATCCGGTATTGGCTGATCTCCAAACGGAAATGTGGAAACTAATTAAACATTTGGCTTTAAGGTGAAATTAGCATGCATAGAATTGCCATTTATTCCAAACACAGGCATGCAATAATTGACTTCTGCAAAAGGTGCCTTGCTACCTTCTTTCTTCGTGTAATAAAGCTTGGGCATAAATTAATTGCTGTTCTTTTCTCTCTCTCTCTCCCATTCCCTCCCATTCTCCCTCTCTCGCTCTCCCTCTCTTTTTAACAGCAGTACATTTGTTTGGCTTAACATGGCAGCTACAGCCTGTTGAAGGGCAGCTTTATGAAAATGGACTCAGTAAGGGAAACAAGGGCACCGAGACCCTGGACACAACTTACTCACCGATTGGAGGGAAGGTTTCCGATAAAACAGAAAAGAAAGGTATCTCTCCTTTTTGTTCAAAGGGGAAAAGCATTGAATAGGGGGAAAGCATTTTCCATATATTTGCATATAAATCTACCTTGTGTTAAGTCAAGGCCAGCTTTGGAGGCCAAAATTATGGATTTTGTTATGGCTCATGGATAGGTGGATGATCATTCAATGGGAGGGGAAAGTGCTGGCATCCCTGCAAAAACAATTGAAGGAAGTTGCGGTTCATTTATGGAAACTGGAGGTATTCATTAAAAGTTTCTCCGGACCCTCTACTATTTATCACAGGATGCTGAAACTGCACATGTGTAATAATATAAGTCTCTATAGCAGTGTTTCTCAACTTAGGGGTCGGGACCCCTTGAGGGGTCGTGAGGGGGTATCAGAGGAGTCACCAAAGACCACCATAAAACACAGTATTTTCTGTTGGTCATGGAGGTTCTGCGTGGGAAGTTTGGCCCAATTCAATCCTTGGTAGAGTTTGAATACTCTTTGATTGTAGGTGAACTATAAATCCCAGCAACTACAACTCCCAAATATCTATTTCCCCCAAACTCTACTAGTGTTTACATTTGGGCATACTGAGAATTCATGCCAAGTTTGGTCCAGATCCATCATTGTTTGAGTCTATGGTTCTCTCTGGATGTAGGTAAACTACAACTCCCAAAACTCAAGGTCAATGCCCACCAAACCCTTCCAGTATTTTCTGTTGGTCATGGGAGTTCTGTGTGCCAAGTTTGATTCAATTCCATTGTTGGTGGAGTTCAGAATGCTCTTTGATTGTAGGTGAACTATAAATCCCAGCAACTACAACTCCCACAGGACAAAATCAATACCCTCCCCCAATCTGTTACTATTCATAACAGCAGCAAAATGAGTTATGAAGTAGCAACAAAACTAATTTTATGGTTGGGGATCACCATAACATGAGGAAGCGTATTAAGGGGTCGTGGCTTTAGGAAAGTTGAGAACCACTGCTCGATAGGTTACGTGACAATTTACAACTCAAAACTGATAACAGTCTTGACTTTACAGAGGCCGAAGTGGTGTGAGGTTTGATAATGGACCCAGTGGAATACAAAGCAGTCATCAAACTCCTTTACTTGAAAGGCTGCACACCAAAGGAGACATTCAATGAGATGAAATAGGTTTATGGTGAGGATTCCCCATCATATGATGTAGTCAAGAACTAGCATTGTCAATTCAAATGTGGTCGGACTTGGGTGCAAACAGCTCCAATTCCAGGGCCACTCCACTCTGCTATTGATGAACACATCATCTAGCAAGTGGAGGTCATCATTTTGGAAAATTGCTGCGTAACCACTCACCATCCAGCCCAAAATGTCAAGATTAGTGTGGGGTCTGTGGGAAAAATCATCCAAGACCATCTTCACATGTTCACTGAGTCCTCAAGCTCTATTGATGATCTACCATGGAAACTAGGAGGATTTTTTCAACAGACAGATCACACCGGATGAAAGCTGGGTCCATCATTATGCTCCTGAGACTAAAGTCCAGTTGATGCAATGGAAGCATCTTGATTCACTGCCTTCAAAGAAGGCACTGCCCAATTCTTTGCAGGCAAGACCATGCTCACAGTATTTTGAAACCAGCATGGAGTAGTATTGATGGATTTCCTAGCAAAGTGTACCATGATCACTGGGGCATAATATGCTTCACTGCTTCGGAAATTGCGGGAGGCCATCAAAACCAAGAGACGAGGCATGCTCACCAAAGATGTCCACCTGCTGCAAGACAATGCACCAGTCCACAATTCACATGTTGCCCAAATGGAAGTATGCTCCTTTGGCTTTGAAATTCTACCACATCCCTTTATTCACCCAGTCTCGCATCATTGGATTTCCACCTCTTTCCAAAAATGAAGTTATTTTTGAAGGGCAAGCACTTTTCAGATGATGGTTTGATTTCCGAAGTCACAACATGGCTTTTGGAGCAACCTGTCGACTCCTACAAGCACAGTGTTTACAGTTGCTTAAAAAGATGGGAGAAGTGTGTGTCCCTAGGTGGCACTGATGGAGAGAAAGACTCTCTCCATTGCTCTCACTCCACAAGAAGTAGGTCAGGGGAAATCTTTAATGAATCCCCTCATATGTACCTTCTTCATGCAGACCTTCTTGCCTCCATTGACATCCCATTGCTTGATGTGGCTTTGGAGCAGTCATCTTTTGGGGGCATTGTTTTAATTCTGCCTTTAAAGACATTTTATCTGAGCTTATACATTGCTGGATTGAAATGAGCTCCAAACTTTCCAAAGAGATTTGACTCTGCTCCGTGTCCCCTTTAGCTTCTCTAATCCCTTCATTTTGAGCCATTTCCCCCTTTTGAAGTTAAATATAATTGTCCCAGACTTTCAGCGAAATTTTTCTCTCTTATCTGCCCAGAAGTTGATGGCTGCTTTGATCACTTTTTTCAAAGGCACCCATGGGTTGCCATGGACTGGTTTATATATATACTTAGCTGAATAAACCAGCAAAATTTGTCCTGGATGCTTCCAGTTCAAACTGTTGGGAAGAGAACGGGGAGACGTTTTTGCGTTTTGGGATGGTTCCCCATCCTGGAAGACATCAGATTGCGTTGATGACACATTGCAACAGCAGCAATCCCATTTGGGCCTCTGGGAAGGGGTCAGCTGCTTTAAGAGGGCATTTCAGGGCACTCTGCCATATGGAGACACTCGTATTTTAATAGGTTGCGCTAGGATTAAAAAAAGAAAAATCCAGACGTCCTATCGATGGCTGGAGTTTACCAGAGGAGCATAATGAGATTGATTGGTTCAGGAATCGGGGATGATCGGCACAGGGACGCTTCCCTGGGAGGATAATTGGTGCTTCATTGCTTGAATTTTCAATTTCTTGAAGCCCTAAGAGATCCGTGATTAGGGAGCCTGTCTCGGCTGTCAGGATGCTCCGCAATGACATACAGAAAAAGCAGCAGAATGCATTTGTAATAGAAATACATGTTAAAATGTGAAAGCAGAGGGGGGGGGGGGGGGGTTAAAATATTTTCCTAAAATCTCGCAGCGCAGGATGCAATTGAAGTGAGGGGGAGAATGTCAAGAGAATAATAAACATTGCTGTTTCGGAAGGCTTGTCACTTGAAAGAAGGAGGCCCTTTGCAGCAATCATTTATCGGCAAGGCATGCTAACTCCTTGAAATATCAGACATGAGGTCTAATCTTCTGCTAGCTTGGAAAGTCTGTAGCTCAATGCTAGAAAACATGCCTTGCATGCAAAAGGTTCTGCTTCAGTCTCCATCAAGGCTGAGAAGGGGCCAAAGAAACACGGGCCTCATCTTCACTGCCGGAGCCCCCGGTGGCGCAGTGGGTTAAACCCCTGTGCCGGCAGGACTGAAGACCGACAGGTCGCAGGTTCGAATCTGGGGAGAGGCGGATGAGCTCCCTCTATCAGCTCCAGCTCCTCATACGGGGACATGAGAGAAGCCTCCAACAAGGATGATAAAAACATCAAATCATCCGGGTGTCCCCTGGGCAATGTCCTTGCAGACGGCCAATTCTCTCACACCAGAAGCGACTTGCAGTTTCTCAAGTCACTCCTGACACGACAAAAAAAAATCTTCACTGCCATATAATGCACTTTGAAACTATGTTATATGTTCAGTGCAGACTCATATAATGCAATTGCATGCATTATATGACTCTACATCAGTGTTTCTCAACCTGGGGGTTGGGACTCCTGGGAGGGTGTCATGAGGGGATCTCAGAGGGGTCACCAAATACCATCAGAAAATGCAGTATTTTCTGGAGTTCATGGGGGTTCTGTGTGGGAAGTTTAGGCCAATTCTATCATTGGTGAGTTTCAGAATGCTCTTTGATTGTAGGTGAACTATAAATCCCACCAACAACACCCAAATGTCAAGGTCTATTTTCCCCAAATTCGACCAGTGTTCACATTTGGGCATATTAACTACCTGTGCTTACGAATCCCTTTGGCACAGTCCTTTGGGTTCACAGTTCTTTGAAATGTAGATGAACAACATCTCCCCAAAATCACTGTTGAGTCCCCCTTTGGGGGGAGAAGGACGGGGTATAAATACATGAAATTTATACGATTCATCCCAAATCCCTCCAGTGTTTTCTGTTCGTCATGGGGGTCTCTGAGTGGGAAGTTTGTCCCAATTCTATTGTTGGTGGGGTTCAGAATGCTCTTTGATTGTAATCCCAGCAACTACAACTCCCAAATGTCCAGATCCATCATTGGTCCAGATCCATCATTGTTTGAGTCCACAGTGGTCTCTGGATGTAGGTGAATTACAACTCCAGAACTCAAGGTCAATGCTCACCAAACTCTTCCAGTATTTTCTGTTAGTCATGGGATTTCTGTGTGCCAAGTTTGGTTAAATTCCATCGTTGGTGGAGTTCAGACTGCTCTTTGATGGTAGGTGAACTATAAATCCCAGCAACTACAGCTCCCAAATGTCAAGGACTATTTCCCCCAAACTCCACTGGTGTTCGCATTTGGGCATATTGAGTATTTGTGCCAAGTTGGTCCAGATCCATCATTGATTGAATCCACAGTGCTCTCTGGATGTAGGTGAACTACAATACCAAAACTTAATGTCAATGCCCATCAAACACTTCCAATATTTTCTGTTGTTCATGGGAGTTCTGTGTGCCAAGTTTGATTCAGAATACTCTTTGATTGCAGGTGAACTATAAATCCCAGCAACTACAACTCCCAAATGACAAAATCAATCCCTCTCAAACCCACCAGTATTCAAATTTGGGCATATTTGGTATTTGTGCCAAATTTGGTCCAGTGAATGAAAACACATCCTGCATATCAGATATTTACATTACAATTCATAACAGTAGCAAAATGACAGTTATGAAGTAGCAACGAAAGTAATTTTATGGTTGGGGGTCAGCACAACATGAGGAATTGTATTAAGGGAAGATTGAGAAATACTGGTCTATACTAACCATATAAGTTTGCAGCTGCGTCATATGGCAGTGTAAATGAGACCATGGACAG